GCATGTACCTGGCTGGTGAGTGACTCCACCGACTTCCGCTGCCCTAGTGTCCCTCTCCCGGCTTCTGTCTGGGCACCCACGTGTGGCCCCCTTCCGTGGGGCAGACATGGGAGCTGGTGGGAGGCAGCCCCCTGCTCCCCGGCTTCCCTGACCGACCGGGTTGCTGCTGTTCTCCACCCAGTGCTGGGGAACCGGGCGTGATGGCGGCTGGGGTCTGCCAGGCACCTGGTCTCATTCCAGCCCTGACCACCCTGGACAGCCTTCAGTGCGGAGCTGGTCAGCACCTGGAAAGGGCCATGCAAATAAGTGGGGTCATTAGGGTAGGATCGTGAGCTCCTGCCTTCCCCGAAACACCGCTCAGAGAGTCTGTTTTCTCCACTTCCTGCGGGTGCTGAGCAAATGCGATTGGGGGAGCCCTGGCCGGTGTGTTCAGTGGTTAGAACATTGGCTCTCCCACCAAAGGATCGCAGGTTCAATTCCTGATCAAGGGCGCCTACCTGGGTTGTCGGGTTGATCCCTGGCCCGATTTGGGCGCATCTGGAGGCAACCAATGTCTCTCCTTTTCCCCCCCACCAACATTGAGGATTAACAGAAAAAGTCACTGACCACTCAGGGGACGGTGCCAGATGGGTGTCCGCGCCCGGAAAGGGGCCGTGCTGGTTACCTGTAGAAACTATCTCTATGAGGAAGGTTGGCCACTTTAGCCCAGATCTCACCTCACATCCCCGTCCTTAAGTTAATTCCCATTTTGAGTTATTTTCCAATATACCTTTGTCAGAAAAAGATTGGATATGAAAGTGCTGTCTTACAATTACAGAATAATTTATATTTTATTTCCTAAAATATTTCCACACATAGTGTACCTTTTCACCTGAATAGCAACGGTGAGTAGTAGCAAGTGAAACGGGAGTTTCTGAGGTTGTTTTGGCTCAGAGCAGCTAGGTGACTGGCCAGAGGCCGCACAGCCGCAGCCCACCTGCCACGGGGTTTCCCTCAACCCCTGCCGGGCACTTCCCTGTAGGCCATCTCCCCTGGGGGTTCCCGCTGTGCAGGGTGTTGTGGCCAAGGTCTCACCAGGTGTGTTCCCTTTCAGCCTGGAGGAAGGCCCAGCTGTATGCAGGTAAGTGACTCAGTTTCCTGTGGATTCACCTCCCCAGCCTCGACCCTGCCCCCTTCTCTGTCAGTGGACCGTACCCCAGGATGGGGTGGGCGCTCCTGCTCTCCTGTCACTTTTGTGGCCGCCATCTGAAGGGCGCCAGGACTCCTCCCTGGGAACACACACCTGCCCCCACCGCAGGTTCCCCCAGGCTAGCGGCACTGCTGAGCTCACCTTGTTGTCCTGAGGGCGGAGGGGTGGTGAGGAGAGATCGCAGGCCGGGAACACAGTGCCCATTCGCCATCTCTCTCTAGGTTTCAGAAACCCTGCCTGCCTGGGTAGGACTCAGGTCTTCCTAAGGGTCCTTGGTTTTGGGTCCTTCTTGCCCTGAAATCCCTCCTGTTTTTGGATCTAGCTTTGTTTTCTGTTTCTTCCTGGTCCTCTGAGAGATTGGTGTCGGCTTCCTGATGCTCTGAGCTCCATCTATGCTGGTTCCTCCCTCAGCCTCCTTGGCTGTGAGGAGGTGGTTGCTTTAAAGCAGGTGTTCTCAGTCTGGGGTCCAGACCATGCAGGTTTCTGGTACAGTTGCTTTCACTACCCATGAGAAGGGGAAGAAGATTTGTTAGTGTCTGTCCTCTTACTGAATGCATGTCTTTCCTGCTTTGAACCCCTCTCCCTTCCTTAGAACCCCCTCCATTGCCTCGGACTGGGCAAGATTTCTCTGACCTGTAGCCCCAGTTCTCTTCACTGAGGGCTGGGGTCACCCAGTCAGTGGTATTCACTGTTCTTGTGGCTGAGGGGCACCCTGAGTTCAGCTCAATCCGTTTTTCACTTGTAAATGGACATTTCGATCTCCCAGTTCTTTAGAGGAAAACCTGGCTTTCAGGATGGCTGTGTGGCTTGGGACTTGAGAAAGCAACTTAGATACTGAGTCTGGGCCTTTCTGCGCAGGTCGGTCTCCAGACTCTGAGTCCTGAGCGTTAGGCTTTCACGGGAAGGTGGTAGCATGGTGGCTCCACGTGCATGTGTGTGCATATGTGTGTGCATGCATTTATGTGTGCGCGTGTGTATGTGTGCATCTGTGTGTGTGTGCATGTGTGTGTGTTTGCATGTATAAAAGGAAATAGATGCATCAGCTGAATGTTCCAGAAACAATTTCCCCCGTATGCCTGCCTCAGTATGCTTCCGGTCTCTGAGGTCCCTGACCTGTGCCTGTTCTCTTGCAGATTGGCGGCAGGAGAAGTTCCCGGCCTGTGAGTGAGTGTGTTTTTTCTGGGTGCTCCTCCTGCTGCCCCACGACTTCGGGCCTCTCCTTCAGTCCTCTGGTGGGACAGATAGTGGCCCCAGCAGTGGCGGCGGGCTGGGTGGCGAAGGTGATAGCACAGAGCTGGGGCTGGGGCGTGGCTGGTATTGGGTGCTGAATAGATATCCCTCACCCGTGGAGTCCAGGCTGGGCCTCAAGGGCCTGAGACATAACCAACCCCGAATAGGTCCTGTGATTCCTCCTCCTGCTTGGAGGGCCATGGGCTTGCATCACAAGGCGCTCCTCTCAAGAGGCTGCCCCCCACCCCCACCCCCCGGCCTTTGCAGCTAAGTGTGTGGGGACGGGGAGGTGTGCCCTTGTTGGGGTGGGGAGGCCTTGCATGAGTGGCCCTCTCTCTGCAGGGTCTGTCACTCTGGACCCAGGCTCTGTGGATTCCAGCCTTGTTGTCTCTCATGAGAGGAGGAGAGTGACCTTGAAGGAGACCTGTGAGGATTCTGGCGGCAGCGGCAGCGTGTTGGGCCTGGAGGGCATCACAGCAGGGCGCTGTCACTGGGAGGTGGAGGTCCCCAATGGGGACGGAAGTGAGTGGGTTCTGGGGGTCTGCCGGGAAGATGTGAAAAGGACCGGCTGGTACACAGAGTCCCCAGAAAAGGGGTTCTGGGTTGTGGGGCAGTTTGAAGCTGGATTTTGTCCCTGCACTAAGGATCCCACTTCTTTACCCCTGAGGCAGCTTCCGCGCAGGGTGGGGGTGTTCCTGGACTACAGCGAAGGGGACGTCTCCTTCTACGACATGACGGAAGGCTCCCACATTTTCTCCTTCCCACGGGCTTCCTTCTCCGGGACCCTCTTTCCATACTTCAGGTTGAAGTCAGGAGTTGAGTCCTTGACCATCTGCCCCATGGCGGGTGCGCCCGAGGGGCTCCCTGTGCCCCTTAACAATTCTCCTTCTTGCGAGGAGCCTCTGAGCTATGGGGCTGAATCTCCATTACTCCCTTGCAATGCGGAGGCTGTGCCCCGCCACTGTCCCTGACCCCTCACTAAGGTGCTTCCTGGAGCTGCAGCCTCCCCTGGCAAAGCCTCCCAGGGAGACCTGAGTGCAGAGCCCCACCCGCTGTGAGCAGAGCCCACCCCCTGTGAGCAGAGCCCGCCCCCTGCGAGCAGAGCCCACCCCCTGTGAGCAGAGCCCACCCCCTGTGAGCGTGCAGGCTCCCAGGTGTGAGGCTGTGAACAGTCAGTTCCGGCCCAGCTCAGGCAGCAGGTTACAGAAGTTGACTGGGCTGGGCTGGGACAGGCTATTTTGATACGGGAAGTTGTTTTTCGTTGGTAATGAAAAATATCCCATGGGCTCGTTGTTCTCTTGAATATGCCAGGGGGCGGGGCTGAATTGCTCTGCAGCATTTAGGGGAGTTGCTTTTATCCAACTTGAGTTTGTGCAGAAGAACCAGGGGCTGAGGGTGGTCCCAGATCTGTTTTGTGGGTCTTCACTATCTGACCAGAAAAGTTGGCCCCCAAAATCTCCAGGGAAACGATGGCAGATGGACCGCCAAGGGGAGAGAGGTCTGATATTCCATTCTATGGTCCCTGCTCCGGGATGGCTGGAGCAGTTGTTTCCCAAACCGCGGCCAGTTTCTGTTCCCTGGGCAAGACCTGGGGTGTCAACTTAAGGAATCAAGGAAGCACCGGGCCCCGCTTCAGGCTCCAACCGCAGGGAAAGCAGAGCGCTCTCCCCGGGCTACCGTGTGCACAGAGCAGACTTCAGATGCCGGGCGAGCAGCAGAAAGCTTTGGCTGGGCGTGGGACCCAGTCATCAGTGTGTCGCGTCGGTGCTTCCAAGTCCAAGGCCAAGGTTCCTGGCAAACCACAGCACAGAAAAGGAAGCCGGGCCCTGGAGGACTCAGACCCGCAGG